ATGGAGCTTTTTGCTCTTTGCCTCTTTGTTAGTAGTGTTTAATAAGACCCTCTATCTCGCATAGAGGCTCCACGGTGGCGATCACGAAACGGTGTTTTCAGGCGCGTTTGTGGTTATAAAACCGATTTGTATTACAAAACCCTTTGTGGTTACACGTATTATAAAACCGATTTGTATTACGTTTTTTAATACTTGAAAGTTTATTTTTACACTAATAAGAAGATGAATAAGTTTAGTTACTTGTTGAGGATTAAAATTTAACCGAATATATATACACTAAGGTTAGTTCCAACTTCCAAGTGCGATCCGATCCCTCTTGATCAACTTCATCCATAGATTTTGTTTGGGAGTGGCTTTCTCTTGTATTCCTAGACTGATTTTCCCTCTTTCTTAGGGTGAATCACTAGAGAAGATTTATCTCAATTCTCAAACACCTTCGAAATTTCTGATGAATCTCCACCAAAAGGAACTCAGTACCAGAGTCGGATCCGAGGACGACGGTGAGAAAGACAGAATCCCGATTAAGGTAGTTCCGATCCCTCTCGATCTAGAAGTTGCTATTACCGGCAAAATCTCTTCTCAAGTTCCAATCCGTGTCGAATCTTTGGTCTTCAATCATCCGATTCGTCAATTCTTACTACGCCATGTCCTGCACGATGCGGTCACGGTTCATGCTCGGTGTATTAGCCAATGGTGTTGACATGCGTTTCTTCATCTTCTCCTCTTCACATGAGGAGAAGAAATCTGATTCTTTGGTTGCTAATCTCGACATGACAATACCTTCACTCAGCTTATCTCGTGGCTCAAACTGTGCTTCAGTCCATGGCTTAATCGGGTTTACTAATAGTGGTCCGTTCATTGTTTATAACCCTAGCACCAAAACAGTCACTACCTTGTCATGTGTTGGAGCACGAACGTACTTGGGTTACGATCCTGTTGATCATCAGTTCAAAGCATTGACACTAACTAGTTCTCCTTATAGGAATCTTGATTCTTTAGTCCATGAGGTTTTAACACTTGGAGGAGAATTACGTAATGAGGTTACCTTCTTACGCTGCTACCAAACATATGTGTTTATTTTGGTGCTTGGACCCCAACCCGAGGTGCGAATCCGGTGATTGTGTGTTTTGATGTTAAAGATGAGAGGATAAGTTTTATCACTGCCCCTGCGGTTGTTGTCGGTTGGGAAGGTGACTCGATATTGATGGAATACAAAGGGAAGTTAGCTTCCATTGCTAGACACCCTTATGTACCTCTCCGTAGTTTTGATCTATGGATACTCGAGGACACGAAGGGCCAGTATTGGTCCAAGCAAACGTTTGAGCTTCCTTACTCTTTGGGGCAGGGTAAGGAGGTGTTTTCCCCTGGAACCAACAAGGCTGGTGATATCGTCTTTGCCCCAAGATATCTGTCAAACGATGTTCAACCCTTTTTCTTGTTCTGCTACAATGTAGAAACAAAATGCATCAGAAGAGTTAGGGTCCATGGAATTGCAGACAGCGAAGAGTTTAGGCGCCATTACGGTCTTGCAGGAGAATGTTGCATCTACATCTCACCCGAACACATTGAAAGCATTGCCTCTATATGATGTTGTTTTATGTATTTCTTCAAGGATCTTAACTTAAGAGCTTGTGTTTTTTTTCTCTTTCTTTGTCTTTTAGGCTTGTTTTCTTAGGACCGATGATTTGCATTTGCTACCATGTTGCTCATACCTGGGTTTGACACCGGATATTTTAGCTTGAAATCTGTTTCATCAGGGAATCACAGTCTCTTAAGTGTATTATTTTCTTGTTTCGATACAAAAGGCTCAATATTTTTCTTCATTAAGGCACTTGAAGATGATGTGAAAGAAAATTTCAGGCTTGACAGAGAGAACTCACAGCATATAATGCTCAAGGATGAGGCAGAGGCAAAAATGCAAGAGCTTTGTCACTCTTACATGACCAATTCACTTCTGTCTGTTTTGTTTTTCTATTCAAAACTCTTGCCATGACCTATTTCCTTGTTGAAGTTGCAATGAGCTGTCATTTTCTTCTGGGGGTTTGAAATTAACTTGCATTAATTAGCTTTTGCAGAAATTATATAAGGAGTTGCAAGCTTTGGATAGGTTTGAACAGGATTATTACAGGAGTAATATATCATTTTGGGTTCAAATCTTTGATTTTTTTCCAAATGAAAATCGGTACATCAGAGTAGAGGAAGATATTAGTAGAACATTATGTGTACTTTGAAAAACTATATATGTATCTCAATATTGTGTGCTTTGTAATATTTAAAAAAAAATTAAGATCACTATTTCTTTTTTCTTATGTGTATACTATATAACGGACTATTACCTAAAGGTGATAAAAGGAAATGCATGAAGCAAATTTGTTGATGAGTTCAATTAGTTCAAAATCAAATAGTAGCTAGTTTAGAAAAAGTTATGAAACATGTATTCAAATATATTGTTTATTAAATTAGACAATTTTTTGGGGATAAATTTACCAATATACATATTTTAGAGAAACGACAATAACAATAAATAAAGGATGTAGAATTTGATTATTACGCAAGAATGAAGAAGGATGAGATATTTTGCCCATCCACACTGATGACTAATGAATAAAAAGAAAAATGTGGTAACTTTGAACTCTGAATTCTTTTTTTTTTTTCTTTTGTTGTCGGCGAGGAATTACTGTTATTCAATCAGTCGGAGTTGACTTTTTCGTATTTTAATAATATAATTACAAAAAAGTTCTTAGAACCATAGT